AACAAAATTAGTGTATGTTGTATCCTCAAAACACCCATTGATTGTGCGAATTGTCACCCAGTAGAGCAGTAGATTAGCTTGTTTCTGGGTTAGGGATTGGTTAGCATTTTTACTTTATCACATAATAACCATAACTGTTGAGAGCTCTGTGTAATAACCACAAATCCATTTAACCAATACCTGTGTCATTATGTAAAGTGCATAATGCCTACTGGCTGATTGTTGGTGACATCTCAAACCATAGATCTTAAATATAATTAGTGAGTTAAAGAAGTGGTTGATATAATGGTAGGTTGTACCAAAAAAAGCATTATATAAATATAACAAAAAAGGGTGAAATTATGTAAAATTATTTTTAAGGTACAAATCCTGTGCTATTAGGCCCGTCTGACCCTTGACGTCAAGACACCACCTGACTAGACGTGCGTCTGAGCGGCTGCCAGTTACACCGCAGTCAGCATTCCCTACTTTTACTCAGCTCCCCCACAGAGGGCCTTGCCTTTAAAAGGAGGGGGCTCATATTCTCATCTATGTTTATCAATTCCAAGGTGGTCTTTTAAAAGGGCCTACAGCACAGAGGGAGAGAGACAGAGAGAGAGAGAGAGGGAGGCAGCTGCAATGGAAATAGTATGGGTGGTGACAGACCTGGGCAGGAGTCAGTCCATAATACCAGCACCTAAAGAGATGTCTTGCCCTTGTTTTATGTTTCCATGGACAGTCCTGTATGCAGAGGAGTTGCCTACACCTGCTAGCATGCAACACCCAGTTATGTGAAGTGCAAACCACTTTCTCCAACTGTAGAACAAACACATACTGTACTACAGAAAATGCAGATCTATTGATATGTATATTTAACAAGGGTAACTAAAATACAGTTGTACTGTAGCTGAAGCTGAATAGATTCAAATACCTTACAAGACATTATTTGCAAAAAAAAGACATAAATGACCAAAATATTGATTAGTGTAAGCCAGGCTTCTGCAATTTAATGTGAAATGCTGCTAATTTAAATGTATAACCTCAAAGATCTTGGTTCTGTTCTTTTTGGCAACACCTATTGCGATAAGTAGTACTGTGTGCATTTGGATCCTTACGTAACGTCCACACGGTTCCGTTGCGTGCTTCAGCGCAGACGCTTCCCATTCATTTTGAATGGGGTGACGTCAAGCTTTGCCGAACTGCATTGTGGTTCCGTCGCGTCGCTTTGCCTCCGTTGTTCGCTTCGAAAGTTGAGAAAAATGCAACTTTTCAAGCGTCGATGGAAGCGCCAGCCAAACAAATCATATGCTAGCCAATCAAACCGTGTGCTTGTGTGTGCGGGGCGGGAGATTAATGTGATTGGTTGTTGGTCGCGCCAGACAGGCCCATTGGCAAGATTCAACGCGACGGAACCATGTGGACGCACCGTTACAGTTTTACCTGTTTGACTTCAGTCAGTTGGCAGTTTTTTTTGGATTTACGCTTGTTTTTAGTATCAAATGTAGTTTTTGACGTTTTTCTTTCGGCACCTTTTATTCGTAGCTAATTAGTACACAATAAAAACCGTACACCCCCTTCATAAACAAGTGAGTTTAAGAGCAAGTATTTTGCCTATAAGCTCTACCTACCCTCTCTAATTGACCAACCACTGACCAATTGTGATTTTTCCCGGTAATGGACACAAAGTTCCTAATATTGAAATGCAAGGGGGAGAACGAATCACAAGGTGTAGTTTGGTTATGTACACACTCACTGCTGAACACTTTACACACAAATCAGTTAGTGAATATCAAAGGTGATGATGTCCTCTCCTCTCTGCAGACTACAGGGAGTCCTTTGGTCTGTTCGACAGGGTTGGTGACAGCAAGGTTGCCTTCATCCAGATCGCTGACATCATGCGTGCCCTGGGACAGAACCCAACCAACAAGGAGGTCGCCAAGATGCTGGGAAACCCCACTCCTGAAGGTAGATACATTCGGTTTCATTTTTCAAATAAGTTTAAGTTTTTTGAGATTATGCCAGGGTTTTCAAGTCTTCCAATTTTGAATATTCTTTGTTGAAATGTTTTTTTGTTCCATTTGTCATGTTCATTTTGATCATTTTAAGCAAAATGATAAAATGATAGTATAACTCTGTAAACTATTATATTCATTCTTATTCTGACATACTACAAAAACTGCTTTTATTCTTGTTTTTGAATGAGTGTACTAGTCATTAATGGCCACACTTTGTAAAACACAAAGTTTAACCAATCATTAGCTGAACAGTATGTTTAAATAGTTTGCAATTACCAGTAATGGCTCAGTTTTCATTAATCTCTGGAAGTCGAAGTGCTGCAAGGGTAATTTCTTTAGAGATAAACATTAGCATCGGTATTAGGTGAAATAAATAATCTGTGGATGGAATTGGTTGTTAAATCCAATCAGCAGTTGTTGTTTTTTTTCTAAAATAGGATTAAATAAAAAATGACTTTAGTCATCACAAAGGAAGTTATTGCTAAAAAAAGCACAAGAGTAACAAATATAAAGTGTACATGAAGTAATACCAATACCATTTCACAATGGATTAGCAATAGGAGTAATATACAAAATAAGTTAATAAAAAAAGCAAAGTAATATTTCACATGATATAAATCTTTATAGTTTAAAAAAACCTATGATGCCACAGAAGTGTCTGAAATAAAGCAAATAGAGAGGGGGCAAAATGTTCACATTTGTAGAAACAGTAGACTGTTAACAGTAGGGGGGGGTGCCTATTGTCTACAGAGGACACATGTAGAGAATAGCTAAAAGATTGTTCTTGCACTGCAGCTGTATCTTATGTAATCAGATTCCTGAATGCAATGTTGGTTCATACACTGTATGTCATAATAAAAAGAGAAGTGTACCTTTGAAGTGTGTCTCTGATCTGGTCTGTGCAGACAGGCGCTGCTGCAGGTGTAAATCTCTGTAACCTTTAAACCAAAATAGCAGAATGACGCTCACTCCTTACTGTGGCACGCTCAGAAATACCAAATGGGATTATAAAGGACAAAGAAAGAAAAAACATTCACAGCACCTGATGAGAGGTAGCACCTGTAGCAGAAAGGTGGAGTTGAATTATTGATGGTGAAAATGTTCAGGCTGTGTCTCAAACCTGCCTGGGTTGTTCACCTCTGGATACAATGATTCATCTCTGTCTCTTTCCATGCAGACATGACCTCCAAGAGAGTAGAGTTTGAGGGCTTCCTGCCCATGATGCAGACCGTCGTCAACAACCCAAACAAGGCCGTATATGAGGACTACGTTGAGGGTCTGCGCGTGTTTGACAAGGAGGGCAACGGCACAGTGATGGGTGCTGAGCTGCGTATTGTTCTGTCAACACTGGGTGAGTCAAGGCCATGAGCACCGCTGTGTCTCTCCATGAATGTGTGTGTCACTATGTGTGCTGTGAGTTTGTGTGTGTGTGTTATTAATCCTGGTTGTCCTCTGTCTCCCCCTACAGGAGAGAAGATGACAGAGACCGAGATTGATGCTCTCATGACAGGACAGGAGGACGAGAACGGCTGTGTCAACTACGAGGGTGAGCTGCAAATACCAACTTTACTCAAACAACTGTATTTATATTATAAAAATCCCCGGCACCATTTTCATTCTTGAAGTCCAGTTAATTTTAAGAATGTCAGTCCGCTTAAGCTCTGACAAGTATCTTAAAATCTTGAGATATTAAAATCTTCCTGATGATGTACTCATGGGGAAATATGCTGTTGAGCTATCTTATGGGAAATATAGGATCCCAACTTGACCAACACTAGGTACTTAAAGTCAGTATATCTTGACTTTCGCTGCTTTGATCTTGTCCATAATTCAAAAGAAATCTGTTTTTTATGATTCGCCTATCATTTAAAATGCTTTAAATTCCCCTAACTTAAAAATGTTGGTGTCAATTTGCACTTTCAGCAGAAATTAAGTGAATTCCAAGTATTGGAACACATGTTAATGTACTCTTATCAATATCTCAACAGTTATGTTATTCTTGGTTTTTAACGTCCTTTAAATGATTTTATTTGATAGTGTACTGATTGTTCTCCTCACTCACTTATTTCCCCTCCCCTCTGTCCTGTGTGTGCTGCCCTGGTCTCCATCTGCAGCCTTTGTCAAGCACATCATGTCTGTGTAAGGACCTGCTCTGCGCTGGTGAGCATCCTATTTGTGCAGACCCCATGGTGTCGCGACATCTTCTCGCTGTTTCTTGTACCACCTGAGGAAGCAGGGGGAACAAAGGACAATGAGATGTCATTTCCTGAAGCCTTTTGTTTTGTTCTACACATTTTTGTCCAAAGTGGTGCTTTTTTCCTCTCCTCCTCCTCCTCCCACTGTTCGGGAAGTCTTCCTTGTTCCCCCGCAAGATGTTTCTTTCCTCATATTCACAAGTCCCACTGTCTCATTGGGGATTTATATCATCAACTGTTTCAAAGTGGAGCAGTGATGGAGGGGAAGGTGGGATAATGATGACCCCCCCCCTCTTGCCACAGTCTACTGGCTCTATCTGCCAGTGTAGGGACTGATTTGGCCCAGGAGTGGCCATCAAAATCCACTCCACACCCAACCCTTCCCCTAGATCTTAACTTATTGTATCCTCTGCCACAATAAACTTTTCACAATCACCCATTGCATTTCCAAATGTCTGACTCTAATACTGTAACTAGATGCAGATGCATGTGTAAAGAATAGTTTGACTAGAGTTAGATAAAAAGATTGATACAACTCTTAGGTCTGTCTGTCAGAAATGAAGCTACAGCTAATAGTGGATTAGCATAGAACATTCATTTCACTTTTAGTTGTTGAAGGTTAACTAATGAATGAGTGTTGAGTGAGCCTTAAGGGTGTTGCTAGGCAGATTTTGTATCACCTTTTGACGGAGCAAGGACGGAGCAGTCTTGCTGCCAAGAGAGGTATCGATCTTCTAATCTTCCACAGAAAAGGAAATAAGAGTAATTCCAAACTTCACTGAAACATTACAAAGAAAACAGTACTCCTGTATCACTTTTTCTCCTTTTTATTGTCATTAATTAATGTAATTGGTGTCATATCAACAAGAGAAAAACTGCGTACATCTACTTGACCTTTTAAATACATTTACAGTTGCTGTAGGGTGGAGCAGGAGGTGGGGAGGGGGCACACAGAGATGTGGTATGCAGAAAAAACACAGAAGCAAACAAACAGTCGCAGGTGAGGGAAGATATTAGGCAGGAGGCAGGATATACCACAAATGGTGTCTAAAAAATAAACTAGATCACCCAAACACTTTTATCCTAACAGATGTAACACGATACGAGTTCCCCCGGTCGCTTTATCTTTCTCCATGAATTGTCTTTTACATTTTCAAAATATTTTTTCTTCCACTTTCATCTCTCACATACAGTATTGCAACAAAACATCCAGATACATTAGCGTACGTCGTAAAACGGCATGGGATCTGCACCAAACGCACACACACAGACAGATTTCAGAGTGGCTTCAACTTCTGCTCAGTCTCAGGTCGCATTTGTAGCGTCATCCTCCGTTACCCAGACAACAGTACGTCCTCATGGTGCAACCTCAGCCTGCGTAGACATTTGTGTACTGTTCATTCACGCAAGCTCAACATCTGCAGCTAATCATTTTAGCTGTCGAAAGTGGATTAAGCTCCAGAGTTTACCAATATTCTGATGTATAAACAGGCACCTATATTTAACTACTGAGCAGGTACAAGTGTGTGATGCTGTTCAACAGGACTGAGATGCATTCCTCAGTAACACCAAACCAGCTGTCCAACATCGTCACCAAGCATTACACCGTAAACAACTAATAACTACAAAACATGAACTTGTTTAATCTTTATCCAATAATTGAGCAAATAACTTACTAAAATCATTTTTTTGGTTACAAAATAGCCTCTTTTCATATTAGAATCAATACATGCTTATGTGTCATAACATGACCTAGTTCTTGCAGTAATGCGATTTTACAGGTTCATTTTATAGCCATATTGTCACTTCCTTTTCAAATGTTTTAGGACAGGTGGATGGCAAAGACCTTTGATTTTTATACATTTTTCTATATATATTTGTTAAATATTATATATATATTGGTGGACAAGAATGACTTGCAGTAAGGATGCTTGGTTTGTTAGGGGGTTTGGCGTCCATGCACGTGAACTGAGCGAGAACGACGCGTGCTGCATGGTGTGCTGGCCACATTACTTCTTATTGAATGTAGAAAAAAAGGCTGTAGCTTCTTAAAAACACTGATCCAGGACCAGTAAAGCAAAAGACCTGGTCCCCCCACTTAATGTAGGACCAGTGCTCGGACTGAACTATTCTATGCAACATCATTCAAAAAGAGAGAGGCCAACCTAATGAATCAGAAACAGCAAATATTTGTGAAATAAAGAAGACCAAAGTACAGTAGCTCCTAATTCGAGTCTCTACTTAAAGATGTGTGATGGATGTTGAAGTTGAGATGTTTAGAGGCTGTCGTTTAGCTGAAGTTGGCTTCAGGGTGGCAGGAGTGGGCAGAAAAGTTTCTGGGGATCATGATGGAGATGCCCGGGTTGCAGAGCAAGCATCCAGAGACCCAGTGTTCACAGACCCTGCTTGGCCAGAGCCGCAGTGACGTCCTCAGCCAGCGTGGCTAACTGCGGAGACTCCAGCACGTTGAGGCTGCCAGAGGACGAGAGCTGGCTGTCCCTGGGGCGCTGCGGGGACACCACGCCCGACAGGTCTGGCGACCGGACCACGATGTCAGCACCGTGGTCCACCCTGGCCTTGGCTTGGTCGCGAAACATCAGCTTCTGACTCTCAATCTAACAGAGGCGGGTGGTGTGATATGAGATGTGGATGGGAAAGAAGAAATATATCATTTGTGTAGAATTATTATTATGTGTGTGAGTCTCTGTGAGTCAGGTTCAATAAGTAGCACTACTCCAAAGGCTAACTTTAGAGAACTACGCCCTTCTGTTCCAGACTTTACTCAGAGGGTTTAGCTTGTATACAGTGTTGCCTTCAGAGCTTAACTGGCCGCAACATTATGTATTGATGGCATTGTATGCTACACGTCTGCGGCTACTTTCACATGCAGATGAGGAAAACAATTGGCTTTGAAACACATTCTTTACATATATATTAAATGCATACTTAATCTACTTAAGGTAACTGTAATGCCTATGCATCACGCATCAGTTACATGGCAGGCTATATCTAGACGTGGAGAGCACCACAATCTCTCAAATAATTCATTTCCTTTAAATCATTGATTGGATTATGAAGCTGACACTCACCGGGAGATGGGTTCCACCAGGAGTGTGTTGAGTATTATCCAGGGAACCCACCTTGGATTGGGCTTTGTCTTTGAAGTCCAACTTCACTGTCTCTATCCGCACATGACCGCCCCCTTGGGAGAAGAAAAGAAGGGTCAAATCCTTACAGAGTATTGGCATGAGATATTGACTAAGGTTCCAAAGTTCAAGGTAAAAGAAAAGTCTAGGTGGTTGGAGAGTTTGCTTGTACAAAACGTTGGTATGTTGAAACAAACGCCATTTGATAAGTACATGCCTAATGATGTCATGAAAGAGCAAGCAGTGCATAAAGGATATCAAATGGAAAGACCCAAATAGACCAGCAGATGGAGCTCTGGGCACACAGTGTCATTCGGAATCCATGCTGATAGTGCTCCTAAATCTTTTCAGGATTGTATTAAATATAGGTCTGCAGTGTTCATTCAAAAGTAATGTTATTCCTTCCAACATTAAGGACTTAAATAGTTTCTGTAGACATTATCTGACTCCATTTACCACTTTTTCATTAATTAAAAATCCGTTTTTCAAGGGTTACCTGGCCGATGATGGATGTTGTCTAGTGAGCCACACTTGGAGGTCACGTGGCTCAGATCTATCTTCTTGTTCTGTATCATCACCTTGAAGAAGCAAAGTCAGGAGAAGGTCAGAGCTTACAGTGCACAACGAGGTCATAGACTCCCACTGAGATTAAAAGGTTCTCTCATAGAAGATCAAAATAGTATCTTCCCTTTTCTGTAATATTTCACATCGGATTCACATTACAACACAGCGGTCTAATTTCATGTAATTATCAGAAAACATAATCATGGAAGCACAAGAGCATAAGACCAAATCAAAGTATTGTGTTCTGCCGTGCAGAAAAAAGATGTTTGTTAAACCAACCAAACCAAGATAGAATACAATGTGCTGTAACTGTCTTCTTGAGATACATTTGTTAATCAGAAAACCTGTCAATAATGAACAACAGTGAGTAAGGCAGTACAGAACAGTTCAAAATGGCCACAGGCAGGGGGGGTAAGGATATGTATCTATGGGACACATCCTTGGGACCTGAAGAGAAAACTACAGAGGGATATCTAAGGAGTGAAACGGCTAAAGGAGCAGAGATAAAACACTTTAGAAACAGCAGAAAGAACAGGAAGAGATACACCACGTCCAGAGGTTATTAACCGCAACCTGCCTGTGGTCAGCTATCACTTTCAAGTCAACAATATAGTTAATGTCTTTTGTAACCAATGATTTTAGTCTCCTTGCTCGCAGAGCCTGATAAGAAAGAAATGACAGTAAAAGTGTCTCACTTGTACTGATGCTGAACAGGGCAGATTGTCACAATAGGAAAGCACAACAACGTGAGCACAAAGTCCACAATACACCATAGGCTGTTCATCTACCACGAGTCCCTAATGCAGGCTTAACACAGAAATGCAGCTTGAGAGATGACGTGAGGTTTGTGTCAACTGCAGGTTGGCTCATCCCTTCAGCGATGGTATCTTAATGTGATGGCATTTATAATTAGTTAAACAAGTGTTAGTATAATATGAATAAAAGGTGTTTGTGGGGGGGTTTTTTAAGCCTTGAAGGGGTGCCTCCACCCATTCTTGTTAGTGTTATTTCAGAAGGAAAATTATGTTATTGTTAAAATTCCAATTGCTCACTGGACACAAACCACTTCTGGAGAATGATGTGTCAGGTAAACAGCACCTGCACTGCTGGTCCAATGAGTGAGGGACTAACAGGGACATTTCACCTTTAATATTTATTTCCAATCACTGTTGACGATAAAGGTTGATTAAAACTTTAATATCCTCAGTGTTTGCTATATTGAGAAAGAAAGCTGAGTTTTCAGCTGTCATTCTGTTGTTCCTCCCTGCATGTAGCACTGTCATTTAAAGTGACAGTTATGAAGACGCAGGTAAGAAATAACTTATGTCCTCCTTCAGCTGGGATATCTAGTTTCTCTTCCTGCTGGTACCCTGGGCCTCTGTCAATATAGCACATACTGAGGAATTGACTGCTTCAATTGATTCAATTGACCTTCAACGCTGATTAGAATTCCATATAAAAAAGGTGGCACATGTTTCCTTTGACCACATAATGAAACACTGACAAACACAACACAACAGAGGAATCTGACATGAACACTGAGACAATGGACTTGCGGCACAGGACTCACTTTTCCACCTCTTGCAGAGTAGCCCCGCCTGTCCAAGGACCCACACCTAGACTGAACATGGCTATAGTCCAGTTTAACATTGGGGATGAGAACCTGCGGGCGGAGGCGAGGAGTGAGGTGGGAGAAGGCTTGGGCTTTCTGGCACTTCATTTTTATTCATGTCTCTTGTTTAAATATTCTGTTCTAGACACCCGAGTTTGTCTAAGTGTAACTGAGGCATTGATATTCAACCTGGAGGTTCCCCTTTTGCTCTGGACAAACAGCTTCGATAGATACCATGGCTCTAAGCTAAGAGGCCAATTAGATTCATCTCACAACCCAGGATGAGCTTCATGTCAGCATGGTTTTTGTATTATTCGTTTCTGGATATGACCTATTACTCCTAAGGAGGATCCTCTTTAATCCCAGCCCACCTCCAGAAAACGATCTTACCTCCTTCAAAACACTGGATTCCATATAATGGCATATCAGGGCTATTGTGACTAAGACAACTTTATTACAGAGCTTGAGTGAGGTTGATATTTTTGCACATCCTCTGTTCAGACTCAAGTAGATTCCATATTAACCAGTAAATATTTAAATGATTAATTGAGGGGGCGAGTATGATAAAATATGGGAGTGCTGCATTGGTAATACCTCTTACTGCAATGAGAGAAAGCAGGAGTGAGATGCAGACAGATACATTTACCCCGCAGCACAATTAAAGCAGTGGGAACAAGACTTACACACCACATACGTATTCGATACATGTTGTGCACAGAGCACTAAAGAGCTCTACAGGAGGAGAGAGAGACCATGAGGAGATAAACTTGAGTGGACCAAAGGAAAACTTTAAAATGCTTTGAAATTATAGTATAACACTTTACGATTAAAAAACAAAGTCTTCAATTAGAGTACAGATCTGTCTCTCAAATATGTAGCTATTTTTGTCGCTGTAAACTGTGGGACACATTTTAAGCTGGAAGCAAGGTAAAATAAGTGAAGAATGGTGGGCAAACCAAAATCAAAATTTGGATGACATCTAGAATCCAACATTTGCCATGAAGAAAAGTAAAAATCAAAGCCATTACCAGGGAAAGCAAAAGCTAACATTTCTAACGCATTTCCCTTAGTGGTAGACCAACTTCTAGTCTCTGGGAACATCCAAGATAGCAGCACCAAGACAACTAACTACCAAACAAGAGACATTACACAAGAGATATAGTATTAAAGGATTACACAGGAAACTAACCACAGCTAAAAAGATGCCATTGAACCCGCTCCAATTAAAAGCCACATTTGTTGGATGGTAAGTGACTTGCTGAGGGCATTGAGGGCAACAGACATTTGCCAGCATATGGTTTTGGTCAGCTGGCTTTCTTTAACAGTAAGGCATCTTTGATGCCAGACAGTTGGTTTATTGTGGGCTTTATGGCACTGCTCTCACAGCAAGAAGATGGCTAAAATCAGATGCTGTCAAACCAGCTGCTACGTTTTTATTGGCTGCTCATGTGTATTTCAGGAGAGTATAACACTTAATAAAGAAAATGGTGACACTAAGCTTTAAAAGTGACTTTGGTTTAACAACATGCTAAGTGTGAACAGTGAGACAATGAACTACATATAACAGAATTAAACAGTAGTGGAAATATAGGTGTGTGCAGGGAAGAGACAAACTAAGGTACTATGATAGAGGACCTAGCACTGTATCCAGATCAAGGCAATGTGCTGCATGTCTCTTAGTAGGACAGAAATATACTGTGAGAACAATTCAGAATGAAATCAGTCTTCAAACTTTGAGGGATCAAGAGGGGGAAAATCACTAGATAGACATAATGGTACATACATTGCCTCCACGGGGAGAGAGCTTCAGATTATCCTTGGAGCTGCATTGTGTCTCTATGTGAGCGAGGTCCGGCTTCTTGTTTAAAATATGACTCTATGGAGAAATACAGAGATAGTATGGGCCTCTTACATCGTGAAGGGGAATGAATGCTTATCATACCGCCACTGGAATAAATACTTCAGAGGGACAAACAAAACATTTATATAAAAAGAGGAATGCCCTCTGTTGCTGACTAGAATTTTGATACAATAAAAAAACCCTTTCAATCTTAGTTTGTTTACAACAGTCTCCTGCTTCACTTTGCAGAATATATTTGTAGAATATCTCAACTCAAACTTTCTAAGAAACGTGTGCCCCATGAGGAAGTGAACCAGAAAATGTGATTATCATTGTGTTCCCATCATGGTTAAGTTAAGTCTTTAGCGTGGAAATGCAGACTTTCCTAATTCTATCACATATTCTTTAAGTGCATTAATTAATTAATACAATTGTTCATCAGTTAAAATGTAGAAGTATCGTTTTGCTAAATGAAATACTTTTAAACATACCTCTGCTCATGGGGCTGACTATCATATTCATACATGATAGAGTCATGTGTGGAGGCACGATCCACCACAGATGACTATATGATATAACAACTGTCCAAACAGCTGCTGCCGTGTGAGTTGGACTTCATTAAATATAAAAAAATCAAATATCCATTAATTTTGCAAAAGCAAAATTAACAGAATTATTAATTTGTAAATTACTTTGGCTTTATTAAGCCTTATTACATTTATACACTTATTTAACCAATAATTATTTATAAAATGCATTAATTGTATTAAGTGATAAGGTTTAAAATTAAATGAAATGAGGTTATTAATTATTTAAGTGGCACACTATCAAACATGCAGTGTCATAATTCATAGTGCTCAGGTGTACCAGCAAGTCTTTTGTCCAGGTCACACTGTGCGCTGCTGACAGGCACAGAGTGAGGGAGACGAGGCGCAGCACGGACTTCCAGATCCACAAGACCCTGTGTTTGGCCTCTGTGAGGATATTTTGTTCCGTGTGTTTCTATGAGGACAGTAAACGGAGAGGTCAGTGACTGAGCAGTGGCTGGGCAGATGCCTGCCAAGGGTCGGGGGGGATCTGAACTACTTTGACCACAGAGCTACAAGGCACTAATGAAGGTCAGGAGAGGAGTATCCTGCTGTCAGAATAAATCAGTTGTAAAAGTCCACTATGGCTGGAAAGGATTCTACCATGCCTGATCTAATAAAGGCCAATCACAACCTAGCAGAGTACTAGGAACCATTTTGTAACCGAGCCGAAAACACAGGTGCATGTCTTATGCACGCGTCCTGGACAACAACAGCAATATACGACAGAGTATTATTTCAGTAATATTTCAGTCATAGGTTCAGGACAGCCGGGTAAATTGAGAGTAATACAGCAGTATCATCAGCTTATTTATTCCGACTTTCTAACTGTGTGTGCAGGAAGCTCTAAAATGATCTTACATTTCACCATTACCTTTCAAATGTTCTGCTGTCAAGGAAAAGCAAAGTACACTCCCATCCCGCCATCCTTACACAATTCATCCAGGGGCTTCAGTGCAGAGAACTCTACATGAACTACTAATATCTGTTAGCTGCAGTAGATAAGTAAAAAAAAAGGCTGCATTTTTTGGTTCATTGCATAAAAAGACTTCATGAACTTGAGTGCATCATCTCTCTGAAGTGTAGCATGGCTTGGTAACTCTCAGGGAGCTAAAATGGTCATTATATAACTTGAGAAATATCCTCTGTTCATATTTTCAAGTTAAGTTAGTAACTTGTCATTCCGCTCCGAGGTGCTTTTGTCACAAACAGCTGAGTTTGGTTTTGTCTAGAGACATTCAGGACGACCGCTCTGACCAGACAGTCACCCCTGTGCTTAGACGAAAGCTGCCAACATCATTTTGTGTCTGACAGGAGACACCTACTGCCACCCAGGGGTGACACACACATGTGAACACACACATACACTGTGGTGCTGCGAGTAAAGACATCAAATGTATTCCAGACAAAACACAACATTAGCTAACAACTGCAGCCAGAAAAATACCCCTCATTGAAATACAAACATTACAATTTCATGGTTTGACAAGAAACATATTGAAGTGCCAACTGTTCATAAGGCAATATTACCGTTGCTAATTTACACATCCAGAAGTTAGAGAAGCAAATTATAATTAATTTGGAGAGTAAATTATGGATATCTGATGGATTTATGCTGAGCTACTTTTACCAGCCAATTGCTACCTGTGCCTGTCTTGGCTCCAGAAGAAAAGTGCAAATGTATAAGTACTACCTTTTAAATCCATTAGAAGCTAAATAATTCACTTAACAGATAGGATTGTTTGTGGAAATCCTGATCTGTGACATGAGAAATGTTTAAATAATTGGATAATGTGCTGCATGTATCTCATGAGGAGGTCATATTCTTACAGAACACCCTGTGTTGCAGAAAAGAGATTTGAAAAAAGAAGGGACGTAATTCACGTCGAAAGGAGCCAGTTGAGGTGGTTCGGGCACCTAGTTAGGATGCCACCTGGGCACCTCCCTAGGGAGGTGTTCCAGGCACGTCCAGCTGGGAAGAGACCAAGGGGTAGACCTAGGACCAGGTGGAGGGATTATATCTCTTCGCTGGCCTGGGAGCGCCTTGGGATCCCCCAGTCAGAGCTGGTTGATGTCGCCAGGGAAAATAAAGTTTGGGGCTCTCTGCTGGAACTGCTACCCCCGCGACCCGACCACGGATAAGCAGGAGAAGATGGATGGATGGATGGGTAATTGCAGGTAAAGACAAGCACATATAATAAAATCTCCCCTCGAGAATTGGCCAACCACAGCCATTGACAAAAGCTAAAATTGAACTTGGACTACATATGCAAGGCAACCTCTTACAAATACTTAACATTGCACGACATGACAACTTTTAGCTGCATTACACCACATAATCACATCAGAAATGTGAGAATAAAAGTTTATGTGGTCAGCCCTCTCTTCACAGCCTGCATCCTTATTTTACCACAAGACACCTCCACTGCAAAAAATACTTGCATGCTAGGAACAATACTGCAAGCCATATTGCATAGTAACTGATTATGAACCAGAACGCATGCTTGCACAAAAGCTCTACTCAGGCCGTTTCTCCTGCAGATGACAGGCAGGCGTTTGGAGCATGATCCCTCCCTGTTTTGTGGCTGGCTGCACACAGCGGCGCAGAGACCTGGCAAGTCATAAAGATGTCAGGCAAACGCTTAGACTCCTAATCAGGTCTTCAGTGAAGGCTTGTAAGAGCTGATGGCTACAGACAAACTGTAGTTCTTTCACTGTTCTTCGTGTTACAGCGCTGAGTCTGTATTTCATACTGAAACACGATAGTTGTCAAACTTTGGAGTGAACCCTGTGAATGCAGATTATGTGCAGCCATGGTGAAAACAGGATTTGAAGTGCAGATTTATGTTAGCTGAAGTGCTGTTCTCAGTTCCCAGAGCTCAGGGGGGGGAATCAAAGGGATCAATACTGCTCACTGAGATGACAAAGCCAGGTCACTTTCTTTTTTATTTAAATGTAGGGCCTCCTGTCCTGTACAGGCGCATATTTGAATCGTAAAGGCCTGTTCTTTTCCTTAAGATTTTACTTTACAACATATTACATTTTGTGGTGAAATCCTTCTAAAATCTCCACCTCAGTTGTTATCCTCAGGAACTTACTGATCTGTGGATGGCAAGACCTTATTTGGAATATATTTTTGATGTTTTATCTGAGGGATGTCAAAGCTGTGTTGGGCACATTTGGATCACAGGAGAGCAGAGAGACAGAAAGGAAAAGGCTATATCAACCTCACATCATCAACATTTCATAATTCTACTTGCTTTCTAAGACAACTACCTACTCTCATGTAGATCCATCACACACAGAGCAACATGGACAGCATGGAGACATGGGGTATTTGGTTAAAAGAAAAATAATGCTACACACTTGAATCTCTTCCATCTACCCCCTGTTGTATATCAATGTGATGTTATCCAAAGTAGAGCATTTCAAAGAGTTTATAGAATTTTACTGACTTGGAAACTTGGTGGAAAACTGGCTAGTCAGCAGGATTGAAGGACTAACAGTGGAAAGAGGTTACTAAGAGAATACAACAAGACAACGAGAGTAGAGAGGTAGGAGAGAAGGGGCCATGGGAAATACATTTCTCAAGGCAGAAGAAAAGCCAGAAGACTTTAGACATAAACACTTCTAGTAATTAAATTTGCATCAGAACATTTACAGATAAATTAGGTTTCATATCAATGGTATATATTCTACTGTTTGTGTCATGGCAAGTGTGTTTTCTGTTTTAATTGTCCACTTAATCCTTCACTGTTGCTTTAAGGTTCAAAGGAAGAATAAGGTTATGTTCTTGTAGAAGATAATCGCCAAGTTTCTACAGATATCTTACTTAAAATGGCACGATTATATAGTTGTAAATCAAATGTGTTATTATGGGTACCAACAAAAATAGACTTTTTAGAAGCAATAACCAGTATAAATAGGATTGCAACATTGCATAGATTAAAGAAAATTCACATACAATAAAATAGGAGCTAAAGATTTTGTGGGAAGTAAGGGAGAAGAGCGTCACCTGTCCTCCTTTGGGCTGGTACTTGATGTTCTCTGTGGAGCCAACCTTGGACTTGATGTTCTTGAAGTCAGGCACAGGCTGGTTGATGATGCGGAGCTGTTTGGGCGTGGTGGCAGGGGACTTGGGTGGGGTGCGGACCACGGCAATCTTCCTCTCCCCGGAAATCAGGCTGAGGGAGCGCGGGGTCCTGGAGGACGATGAGTAGCTGGGAGGGGTTCCTGGGGTGATGGCTGTGGAGCCGGGGGTGCGAGGGGTGGAGTGGCCACTGCGAGCTGATCGGGAGCGCACTGAATCTGTAATTGATGGAGAGGAATATAAGGATGAAGGAAATAGCTAAAGCTGCAGTACATTCAACAGAAGAAACTATGGTAACATATGTTAACTTCAAATGAGAAAAAAAACAGAAGGGAAGAGTCAATCATTAGTTCATCAGACGCTATGACTGTAAGCCTTTGAAAGTCACTTTTCAGACCACCAGATATACAGAATGACACTGGAAAATACTAAACGTAGGTCACAGATTCAAATATCTTATCCATAAACAATTGAAGTCACTAGTTATTTTAGGTTAAACATAGCAATAAAGCATCATAGTGTCAGAAGTTTTAAGAATCCCTTCTACCTGTCATGCTAGGGGCTCGTCCTGTCCTGTGCTCCGCCCTCATCTCGGTTTGAAACGCTACAGGAGCAGGAAAGGAAAAGTTTAGTTAAGTGGAGGCTGAGGGTGAGAAATAAAGAAGAAAAGGAGAGTTTTGCATGCTCCAATTCATTCACCTTCACCTGTAATACGGTAAGTAGTAAATAGAACATTACAAAAAATCCCTGTGACATAGAGAATGGTTAAAAGGCACTTGAGAGAGCTGGAGAATACTGCTACAGAATCGTATTGAATACTTAAAGACTTATTTTCCTATTAATGTCTAGGAGAGTAGTAGATCCTACACAAGCCACCTAAATAAGTTTTGAGCACAGCAGCATAGATTATCAGAAAGAAACCCAAAGATAAAAGAGACATATGAAGGTACAGAGAGTTTTTGGCAGACTTGAGCTCTCTTTAATCAAATGCAAGAAACTACAAAAATAATAATCAGCATTGATTAAAAGAAACTACTTTTATACTGGTAGAATCCATTTGTTGTGGTTTTACTGAAGGCTGATACATGTTGCTGTTGGTTTAATCTAATAACACCTAAATACTGAGACATCGTTTAATAAGCTGATTAGAGGATCTGCAGCCTACATGTGGGTCTGCGAGGAGCCAAGGAGCCGGAGCTGGTGATGGAGGTGGAGCTCTCCTCTTGTTCATGGTGTGCACGGTGACTCAGAATGGAGGCATGCCGCGGCACAGAGGACCTCTTTTTAGGGCTCCATGAACCACCATCCTGTGGGAAACAAACACGGGGGACAAAAAGTAGTTACTTAGAGTAGTGAGGCTGTTATTTATTTTTAATGTTTTGAATCAATAGGGATACAATAGGTTTAGGTGGTCAATATCGCAGATTAAAAGTGTTTTTTAATCCAACTATGAATCTGTTTTTATGTCTTTTCTGGGACTCCTGCAGCTAGTGCCGCTCTACCATTCACCTACCTCTGCTATGAGTCTCTGTATTACTGTGAAGCAGTGAGGCTCTGCTGAGGCTGGGCGAGGTCTATCTAATGAGGCAGTCACTCTGGATATGGAGGCGGGGACCTTTGTTAGTGGAGAACGATGGGCATGGCCCTGAGATGGTACAAAGATGAGGCTTGGTGGGTGAGTAGAATGGCAGCAAAATATACAACACAGGGTGACAAAAGAGTGGTGAAAATAACAGCGCTAAAACATGCATTATCAGTGCACAAGATCCGATTGTGGTATGAGGAATGAGATATTAGCATTGGATCATGGCTGTTTAACATTGAATTGTAGCTCATCACAACACATCATGCACATTGATTGTGAACATGCCAGTTACATTTGTTTTTTAAATGTATAAAATCAAAATGCCAAACAAAAAAACAAGTATAGACTCATGCAAGATTTCAGTTAGACTGCAAACCATGGTAACAGATGTAATGGGAGACTGTAAATAGAATATGTAAATCAGAAGTAAAATAACATGTGGGCTCAGACTGACAGAACACACTTACAGTATGCAGTAATGACATGACATTTTAGAAATGCAGATACTATTTTATTTTAGACACAATAACTGTCATTACCATGGCGGAGGAGTAGAATAGAGTCACGACCATAGCCGCTGGAGAAATGTCACAGGGTGATCCGACACCCACTCAGTAAAAAAGAAAAAGCTCTAAATGGATCTGCCTTGACTACTTGTGCACAACCCATTAAGCAAGGCAACAATAGCAGAGAATTTACAAAAAACTAAATAAATATGTTTTCATAAAACACAAAAGAAAACAGTGGTGTACTGTTCGTGCATAAATGCTATGCAGTGTTGTTCATGCGGGGGTTAGGGTTAAGATAGACAGAGTGGAGACAGCACTCGCTTAAACAGTACAAACAGGCAGGTGTTTATCTAAAAAGATGATTAGGTTGCCCTGGAAGTCACAAGAGGTAATTTGCAATAAGTTCTTAAGAAGTCTCAGTTCTGATGATAATTATTCTGCGTAATTAATGTGTTGTTAATTGTTTCTGCTGTAACGATGCACGAGGCAACTTGTGTATTAGTTTCACATTAGAAGAAAGGGATAAACATTGAAATCCGTTGACTTCATAATGCATTATTAGCAATCTGTAATAGAAAAGCACTTCTTGTTGCACAGCATTCTTTTGTCTACAGATGTATTGAAGATGCAGAGTACTGTTCGTTGCTGTTGAGTAGAATGTTTGGTTTCTATCTGATTGAGGTTTATTTAATTGCCTTTCTGGAAACCTGCTTGGTGATTCTGGCTGTTTGTCTTTAAAGCTTCGATGTGGTATTTCGCTGAGTTGTTTCCGAGTCAGATTTCATACCAATGTTGGGTCAATGTAGTTTACTCACCGATGCTCTGTTGCGAGACTGTCTGGCAACACTCAGAGGCTGACGACTGTCTGGTAGCGCCTCTAAGAAAGAGACAGAAACAAAACATTATTGGACACAGACAGATGTTATGACCTTCATATACTGAAGAGAGAGAAGTGAGAACCGTTTTCATGTCCTACTTTAAAGGATTCTGGATATAAGAGCATATTTGGGTCTCAATGTTGTATTCCCAAACCTGACATGGTGTGCTATATGAAAATCGAATGTTCTGTGGGAGCAGGTTGCTAAGGGCTCTATTCTGTAAAGATTTGGCAAGATATCACACAGAATGGGGGATTTTGTATTATGTAAGGCAACCCTGGAAACTAATCTAATTGGGGCAATGCAGCAGTGTACTGAGCCCTCATCACCAGTGACACAGAATCCAGCCCGTCGGGGAAAATGAAGAGCACCCTGCCTCTGGGACGGTCTACAACATAAGGTCCATAGAACAAAACCATGGATTACTAGTAGCCTGGCAACGATAGGTTGAAAAAAGCTGTAATGTAAAGCTTAAAGAGACCAGACGTTTGACAGGTATTTTATTCCTTAGAGTTAAAATTATTTGAAATATTTATATAAAGTATAAGTATAATAATGTAAAAGCTCACCAAGAACATATAAACAGAGGGCAGGCAATGTTAAAAGTAAGGGAAAATGCCTTTGAGTAGCTTAACATCAGCGGAACATCTTGCTTTTGCTGACCTTGCAGTAGTGATGTAGACGAGAACTTGGAAAGAGTTTAGTCAATCCTCAAATCCCAAACTTTTAACTGCAGGACATCATGCCCTTTAAAGAACATCAAGGATGAGCACAACACAAATGAAGGCAAATAAAAACATGTATGGCAGTACTTTTTTATTATGAAAAACAAGAAACAGGACAAAGCAAACCAAGTAACCAACAAGACAAAATGGATGCCATGATCCAAATGAAGCTGGATGGAAACTCGTGGCTATCGTGCCACCTTTCTTTTTTATCTTTTGACAGACCAAGGCAATGTGTCACCTGTGGGTCTCCTTCTTGGACAGGAGTGATGCTGGGTCTGGCGGGCGGCTGGTTTCATCACATTCCTCTTGGATGGCGATTGACTGTGTGTCTGCATTTTTTTTGTAAACTCGGTCCTTATCACAGCTACCAGAGGAATCGAGGCATTGACAAAAGCAGAGAGAGAATCATAAGCAGAGATAGAGGCTTAAACATAAAATATGTAATTCTGCAGAATAAGAAAAACACATTTGTTGGACTATACTAAAAACAGTTGACTCAAATCACTGTCAGTGAGTTATTATAGGAGTGCAATTGTGTGCATTTGTATAGTGAAGCAATACATTCAAAGATGCTGTGTTCTTTTGGATTTACAGCAGAAAACACTATTAAGGCACATGATGTCTGGCTTTACACAGACAGGACAAAGAAGCAGACCAAATAAAAATATTCATTGTATAACAATCCCTGCAGATTTCGAGCAGCAAGTATCAAATATTATTTTTGTATCAATATTTATAAATAACTACTTGTTCATCTGTAAAGTTCAAGAATTCAAAAGGAATGAACAATGGTGAGAACCTTTTTTCTTCTTGTTGTCTTCTCTCGGCACGAAGATATGCTCTTTGTGGACAAGCTTGCGTTCTGGTGTAGAGATTCGGCCTTTAGCCCGTCCGGCCTTTGGTTTGACCGGCTGTTTCTCCGCCTTTTTCTGTTGTGTCTGCTTCTCCTTGACCACAGTAGGCTTTTTGTCTGCGCTTGCCTTAGGCAAAGGCTCAAACTTTTCTGTCGCCATACTCTTATCATCATCATCTGTGGTGTAGCAAAGAAGGACATGGGAAATAAAAGACAGTATTAATGTGTTTTGATTGGAAGCAGAAGAGCAAAGGGGGAAAAATAACACTTTGAACAGACAAACCATCAAAGAGATCTCACCTTGTGTGTCAATCCAGGAGCTGTCCAAGATGGAGTCGTCCATTGTGGTTTCATCTCTATCATAACTTTCTGTGGGTCCATCGGTGTCAATGCTTTGAGCCTCTTTCAGAGGGAAGGCAGGGGTCTCAGGAACATCTACTACTTCCTCTAGACTTGCCGCCTCCAGGTCAGCTTCTTGGGCCAACTCCACAGACTCTTCCTCTTCCTCTGAGGCTCCTGTTTCAGGTGGACCAGAGAAACGAACGCTGTGTCCCGGCTCATCTGCTTCGTCGATGGTCTGGACCACAGTGATGAAATCATCTTCAACTGTGACCACTGATTCGATGGCAGCACGAGTCTCTGGGATCTCCTTTGCCACCGCTGATCCTGCGACTACTTTCTCTATTTCGTCTTCCTCCCCTTCCTTTTGCCCCTTTTTAGCATCCACAGCTTCTACTGCCACATTCTGCTTGGCTGCTTGCACCTCTGGTTGTCTTGATATATCATCAGGCGTGTCCATTGCAACCATTTTCTCTCTCTCTTCCTTGTCTTTCAGTTCCTTTTCTTTATTCTCTTTGTCTTCCTTCTCTTTAAGTTCCTTCTCTATCTTTTCCTTCTCTTTAAGTTCCTTCTCTATCTTTTCCTTTTCTTCCTTCCCTTTAAGTTCCTTCTCTATCTTTTCCTTCTCTATCTTTTCCTTTTCTTCCTTCCCTTTAAGTTCCTTCTCTATCTTTTCCTTCTCTATCTTTTCCTTTTCTTCCTTCCCTTTAAGTTCCTTCTCTATCTTTTCCTTTTCTTCCTTCCCTTTAAGTTCCTTCTCTATCTTTTCCTTCTCTATCTTTTCCTTTTCTTCCTTCCCTTTAAGTTCCTTCTCTATCTTTTCCTTTTCTTCCTTCCCTTTAAGTTCCTTCTCTATATTTTCCTTCTCTTTAAGTTCCTTCTCTATCTTTTCCTTCTCTATCTTTTCCTTCTCTTTAAGTTCCTTCTCTATCTTTTCCTTCTCTTCCTTCCCTTTAAGTTCCTTTTCTATCTTTTCCTTCTCTTCCTTCCCTTTAAGTTCCTTCTCTATCTTTTCCTTCTCTTCCTTCTCTTTAAGTTCCTTCTCTATCTTGTCTTTCAATTCCTTCCCATTATTTCTTTTTTCTCTCTCTCCTCTTTCCTTTGTCTCTCTTCCTCCATCTTTTCCCTCTCTTCTCTTTCTTTATTCTCTCTTTCTTCTATCTCTTTTATCTCCCGTTCTCTCTGTTCTTTCTCCTTCCTTTCTTTTTCTTCCCTCAGTATCCTCTCTGATTCTTCTTTGTCTTTCCTTTCCCTTTCTTCTCTCTCTTTCATTTCCTTCTCTTTCCTTTCAGCCTCTTCCCTGATTATCCTATCTGCTTCATCTTTCTCTTCTTTCATTTTCGTCTCCGCAGCTTCCTTTTCTTGCTCTTGCCTCATTTTTCTTTCTGACTCCTCTTTCTCTTTGGTTATTCCTAACACAGGTGAAGCTGTTCTTTTAGGGGACCCATACACTTCTCTCTGTTTAAGTTTTGATGGTGAAAGCACTGGAGAGAGCAGCTTGTCATCATCAATGTTGCTATCAACAGACGAAGCAGGTGATGTTTTTACAGGCCTAGCAATCCGGTCCTTTGCCACGCCAGTCAGCTGGTACACATCTTCTGCATCCACTTCCTCATAGGCTTCCTGGTGGACCAGCTTTACTTTCTCTCGAAGCTCCTGCAGTTCCCTTTCCTCCTCCATACTAAGGGGCCTGTCCTCCATTTCTAATTTACGTATCTGCCTCTCATAGTCTGCAATCTCGGTTTCTGAGGTTGAGCCCTCGCCACTGGCTTGTCGTCCGGTCTCACTCCCCGCCCTCCCGCCTTCTTCTAAAGTAACAGTGACTGTTGGTGTCACAAAGAACTCACTTGGCTGAGCCGGTGGTGTGTCGCTTACATATTTTTTGGATTGTTCATCTGCAACCTCTTTTCCCTTTTCTTCAGCAGAATGTTTTCTTTCTACTTGCTTGTGGTCTTTCTCTTTAGTGACATCAGCCATCCCTATGTCCTCCATAGACGTGTCCCTGACTGCTAACTTCCTAGCTTGCGCAGCCACTTTTTCCTCAAGGTCAGAGTGGGTGAAAGCCTGTGCAGAAATGCTTGTCGGGCCGAACAGATCTGCAGGTGATGGCATTGGGCCTGAATATTCACTGAACACACAATAGCCCATTTCTTCTAGCTGGCTTTCACTCTTTCTAGCACTAGGACTTAGTTCTCCTGAAACCATGCTTGCTAGTGGATCATCGGCAAAGGCTTGAAAATCAGCTTGAATTGACTTTCTCCTGGTGATATCTGGTTCAGTGTTTTCTGATGCCAGCCGGGAACGGGTACCAGCGAGATCCAGCATCTCAGGCAAGTCTTGCGACATGACAGCGCCATTTTTAAAGTTGCTCTTAAGGGACTGTGGTGAGTCTGGGGACTCCAGTTCAGGACTGGGTACTGAAACTCGTTCTGTGGTCCTTGGAGGAGATGAAGAATCTGAAGTGATGGAAGCCGCAGTTTCCAATATCAGTGGAGGCAAGGGTGGAGGCTTATCCACAGAGGGTGTAGTGACTGGGAGGTAGTCTGCTGCCTCATCTAGACTTCCACTAGTGTAGGACATGATATCTGTGGCCAGTGGAGAGAAGTTCCTAGGTTTGCCCCGGCCGCTCGGATCAGTTGCTCCAATGGTAATGTTAAGTGAGTAACTCCTCTGCTCTAAGGCCAGTTTACCAGGGGAAAGCCTGCATTCATTACTCTTGTCGGGAACTATGAACAATCTACTGTCTTCTGATGTACGTTCCTTAGTTTCCGGTTTATCCTGAGCTTCAGCTAGTGTGCTGTAGCTGATCTCCGGGGGCCTGTCGTCAACTGCACTCTTCTCTTCACCAGATCTGCTCAGTTCGTAATAACCCTCGGCCTTACATTGGGAAGACTCCTCAACCTCCACAGTTGATGTTTCAAAATATGCTGACATGCCAGATCTGTCTGCAGAGTCCCTCGTTGAGACTTCTACCTGACTTTTGTCTCCCAGTGATGAGAAATCTGAGGAAGCACCGATGCTGATGATCTCCACCACTTCCACTGATGGCTGTTTCTCTGACACTGTGATTGGCTCGCCATATGTAGGCTGAAGTGTGAGTGAGCTGGCAGATTCTTTGGCTTGGTTTTGAACATTTGGAGGTACAAAGGATGGCATATCCATGGTGGGGCTCTCTGGTACAACTCGTTCCCCAGCAAAGAACCCTTGCATCTGGGGCTCAAAAGACTCCTCTGGACGTTTCTCCGACCCAATGCTGTCCGGGCTCATGGAACCACTTTTCTCGCTTCCCTGCTTGTCTGAGTCCATCTTTAAAGCTGAAAGAACATCTGTAAGTTTGCTGTTTTTATCAACAGAGAATAACAAAGCTTTGGCATGCTTTAAATGAGATATGTATTAAGCCAGGGACTGGGAAAGCCGTTACCACAGAAACAGGCAAAGCTCTCCTCAGAAACTTACAGCACAATGATACGGCCATCGCTGAAGAAGTACGGCGAGTGTATGGGGTCCACCAAGTCACAGATGGATGATAATATGACATGGTATGTGACGGAACCGGCATGAGGAAACTGTGAGGCTGATTTATGGGGAACAATTAATGGGATGGATATTCATGCAAGTCTTCAAAACATCAAATGAAAGAAGTACAACATTTCTGTCATTCGTTCTACAATGGCTACCACAGAATGCGATTTTCACGAATTAAAATCTATCACATAGTTATAAATATATTGATAGCGAATATATCAGTACACCCAAATAGAGAAGAACCTTGTTAGTGAATGACAGAGAAATGCCATACAATGTCACTAACAGTGCCAAAAACAAACAAACGCTGATATGATAAGGCATTTGATGAAACTATATCACACTTAACACGAAACAGCCAACCATGAAATCCCCTGCATATGTACACAGGATCATGATAATAATATGAATGACCCAGGTTTAGTAAGTATGATTCATGGTTACAAAAAGTGCATAGCACTGGCATACCAGCACCAAGCCACGTGTAAACACAACAAGAAACCTGCAGGCTTATAGCCGGTGAAAAAACAGCACTGTTACATTCAGCAACACTTCACTTGATCATACCAATACAAAATGGCCGGCCCCAAAAACAACAGCAAGGAAAAATCATATCAAAGCGCAAAAATAGCTCACAATAGGGAAAAGTTAAAGTATAGGTTAAAAGAATGTGACTCTTTTCACCAACAAGCCTGTGTTGCCTTGCAGCCAGAGCGTAGTGCAGGGAGGGTAACTTGCCATTCCACTTGAATTATAATGCTTATGTTATGTGCTTATATGTTCCTTTTGACACATCTGGCATTTCTATACAGTGGACAATGCAGTAACATGCAGGCAGGGAGAGCAGAGGGCAGGACACACCTGTCTCAGGGCTCTCCCACCCCCCTGCTTCCTCCTCATCTCTGTCCACAGAACTGTCTGTAGCAGCACTAGCTGCTTCTCCCGGCTCCAGTTCTAGATCCTGGGCCTCGTCTATGGCCTCTGCCTGCTCTAAAGGCTCAGCTTGGGGGCAGTCCAGCTCAGGCTCTTCCCCGCTCCACTGCTGCTCATCAAGAGCTGCTTCGGACTCTGCTGCACTCTCCTCCTCTTCCTCCTCATCTTCCACCTCCTCCTCGTATTCAGCTGTAAGAGCCTCCATGGTCTCTTCTTCTCCAAAACAGGGTGAAAGGGGGACACATTTAGACTACAGGCAACACAGACTTGGGTTATGTGAGAACAGAACTTACGATGGGACACTTTCATCTCTAGGAAAAGATGAACTAAAGTGTATGTCTGCTCACACATATAGGTACATTACACAAATAGTACAGTGCTGTGTGCAAGTCGTTTTTTATTCTGTTTGTTTGCTTTTCTACATTTGGGGCTTATTGTACCCAGTATGAAAGGAAACTAAGAAGATATTCTTTGGTTAAAGGCATGCAGAGATGTATTTCTTAATATCTGTCTTTTTTATATCAGCACTTACTGTCTCATCAAGAATCATTTTTGTAAAAGAAAACACAAATATATACAATTATATCTTTCTCTTGCCTTCAACTCAAGTTGAGCTACCATATTTGACAACTGAGGTTGGAGAATGAAAATATAAATGAAGTCGTAATATTTCAAGGTCTAAAATTGCGCTCTTGTCGAGGCATTTCTGTTCAGAGCACTTCTGAAATCCCTAGCTCTTAAGAAAATGCAACCTTGAGGAGCTGCAGTCCATTACAGGCAAAGCAAAATGTCTCAAGATTCAGGACATTGCGCAGACCAGATTTGTTTACTGTTTAATGGTGGATAAGGGTGTGCAGCTTTGCACATTTTGAGTAAGTTCTGAATGTAACAAATATTCTGTTCAGTTGCTTTGCACCCAGACGTTTCTACATATTATAACTTTAAGCAAAACAATGTTACTACAAGATTTTTGTCAACGGTGAGATTATAATATGTTGGGGGAGGCTGGGGGAGTTAAGAATTAGTCTACAATTATGCTATTTTTTTTAAATGTATACATAATCATTGTAATGTCTTGTGTTAAAATGAATGAATGTATATGTTGGGGGGGGGAAAGATAGTTATTTTGTGTGGGTTGGGGGATTTCTGAAAGTTTTTTGTGCATGGATGTTATTAATCATGCACTGTACTGACCATTTGGACCTTATTTGAAGTCATAAAAGTAAACCTTGGTGGCAATGGGACTTACTGATGAGAGCTGTAGTGAAAGCTGTAGTGATGTCCAATGAATCCTACTTTAGAGACATCATTGCTATGTGTTGGATTTAACAGCATGGCAACCACAGGTAGCAATGACTTTGGGTGAAATCGATGAAAGAAAAAAAAATATGACTGTTAAACAAATATGAAATTGCTCAGTTTTAGAGCAAACAAAAATCACAAGAACAAACAGACACCACAAGGACACACAAACACAACACACACAAGGACAGACGAACTGACGGACGAAGAGACAAACTGACGGACGGAGAGACGGGAGGGATGGAGGTCAAATCACAGAAGGAGAGGCAATAGGTGTTAAAAAGAGAAAGGAGGGAAACAGAGTGAGAAAGAGAGGAATGGAGGGGGAATGGCAAACAGGAACCATGCGTGGTTCACCTTCGATCTGTCTAAAGGCCACAGCCTGCCCTGTGGGGCGGGAGCCCGAGTGCGTCCACTCAGGGCTGAACAATGGGTGCTCATAGTACTCTTCGTCGGAGTGGTAGGGGTCGTCCTCGGGCACGGAAACTGAGATGGAGGGGGCGAGGAACTTGCACCTCTCCCGAGAATTTTGGAAACGGCGGAGAGGGCCCGCCTCCTCCTCATCCCCTACATCTACAAACAAGACAGACACAAGGAGAAGAACTGCAGGGAAATCTGGACACACGGACTGAAAGAGAGAGCGAAGAGGAAGAGAGGGAGACAGGACGGAAGGACAATGAAGACGAAAACAATAAAAAATGGAGACACACCAAAGAATGTCCATCTTAATTAATATTAAGACTCAGATTGAGGTTCTTTCAAAACTTGATAGGAATCCACCTGATCAGGGGTTTTTGCGCAAAATAACTAACAAGAAACTTTTGCACATGTTATTTTTGACTTTTGATTTTATATATTTTTAAACACCCATCCAAGTTTAGAAAAAAATTATTACAAATTGAAAAACGAGTCAACTGCACCATATGTTTCTTGTTGTTGGTGTATATTTTTGCTGTTTGGCATCTATTGATGAATATTAAAAAATATAATATATATATATATTTTTTTGAATAAGGTCCTTGATTAGAGCTTTCAGTATAGCTATGAGACAATGCCAAACAGGAGGTCATACCAAATGAGTTCAACTGGGGCTAGCTGCCATTCTTGCATTTTCAGGAAATTACTACTTTTTATTATTACTTTTAATAGAAGTAGCCTAAATTGTATTTAAGATGGACATGTCTTAAGTGAAAGGGAGATCAATCTTGAGGTAGAAAAAAAAAACGAAGACAATAACAGACACATTTTAAATAAGCAACACAAATAGAATCATCACACGGGGAGATGAAAGATGAAAATAAAGATTGATTGAGAGCAAGAGAAACACACAGGACATCGACAAGGTGACAGTGAAAAGCAACTCAAAATTCACAATGCTTTGTGGGCCAGCCATACTGTAGTAAAATGTTGCAATGTTTGAGGAAGATAACAATAATCTGCTTCACGTAAGAATGATTAAACCTTAATAAAAGACATAAAACACAGACACTAATAACAACATTTAAACTACAAATGCAGCAGTAGAGGCCTAAACAAAACTCAAAGAAACCATCAGCCAATCTTATGGCTAAATCCTTCAGTGCCTACTTGTTGAATGATGAACTCTTATACAACAACACCACAAAACACTTTACCTTAGAGCACACTATCTGTTAACAATTGCACGATACTGCCTCCTTCTATAGGACACCCCTTACGCAGTCCTTACTTCTAATACTAAAACACAATGTTACCACAACCATCTGATCATCTGGGTTTAGTGCCTGGTTGAACAATCTACTAACACTCCTCATTATATTCTGAGCAGACATGAAGAGACAGGCCAAGTGTGAGGCAAACGGAAGAGCTTGTTACACTGTAGTACAACCATTTTGTAGCTGCAAAAGAAGTTACTACATAGCCTACAATTCCAATGTCAGAGATACAGAACCAATTAGTACAACAGTGAGAATGGTCAAAATCGAAAAGCAAAGAACATATTGTTTGAAATGTAAGTATTTAAGAAAAACAGGTGATGCACGACAACAAGTAAGCTGACAAAGGGACATTTATATTATTATGTATTATTTCGATAATGAAATTACAGCCAATATTTATTATGGGCTGATAATATGAAGCCAAATTGCTTTGATGTACAACCCACTGATTAACATAGAAGAGAAGAAGACTATAATGCCGCTGGTGTGAACGTTTTTCACAGCTTAACAAGAAGACAACATGATTGCAACTTTCAATACAAGTTAAAAACAAATGAACAAATCAGAATTGACGCTATCTCTTCAGGTTACATGTTATGGGGCTACAATTGTTATCTATAGCAATAAACACTAACAATACAAACAAATAATTGCAAAGAAGACTGACGGGACAATCACAAGAAAACACAACACCATGATAAGACATGCAGAACAAAATACACAACTCAACCAAAAAGACAAACAACAAGAAGTTGAAGGGTTACCTAAATTGGCTGTCATTTAAGTGTGTGGTAAGACCAGGTGTAGATGTTAGAAAGGAAAATGGAAGAAGAGGACAATAAAGAAGAGTGCACTTGTTGTCACAAGGCGGTCATGCGTGTGAGCGCTTCTTTCGTTCAGAGATAAATGATGACGATGAAGATACAAATTGTATCGGTTCCAGCTGTGCGATGAGGAGGAAGCAGGATTTAGGATGAAATGGATGTCTGAAAAATGGAGATAATGTTCCTGCTTTAAGCAACTCTGGTATGTAAAGACTTCTTTAGGCGACCAATGTGTGGTTTGTCTCCTATAGGGCATGTCCTGAGGGGGGGGGGGGGGGTTAAAGAGCAGCCCCAGAGCCAACCAATATCAATACCCAAATGTGTTGGCCAACAAAACATCCCAAGGCTTCAGTCGGGGAAAAGAAGGAAATCACAATCTTCTCTTTTAGAGACATACTCTCATGAACACACGTTGTATTCTTGGCCTACCTTTTTCCAGAGGACCAAAGTGCTCGGCAGCAGGTGAGGGGGGAGGTGAGGGGGGCAAATTTGTGGTGTCTTCAACTTCAAAGGTAGGTGTGAGATATAGGAAGGAATAATTATTATTTTTGAAAATCTTCTTTAATAATTAGTACATTTACATTTATTTCTTATCTATTCTCATTTTCTCCCAAAACAAATTATGATAATCTCTCCCCATTCTCATCCTTAGTGACTGTATGCTTACCAGGACTGATATTAACTTTGTTAGTTAGCTGTCGTCCCATGATAATGTTAACTATGATCCTGACTGAACATTAAGAATATAAAATGTACAGAGCAATGTTAATAAGTGTGTGCGTGTGTGCGTGTGCGTCTTACCTGATGGCAGCCTTTGAGTCTCCTGCTCTCCCTTTAGTACCGCCACTGCCTCCGCCGTCACTTCCTGCACAATCCGCGCTGACACTTGCTCTGAACACAAGACACAAGGTTAATCAACTTCAAGATTATTGCAAGAACAAAAACATTTCAAAGAAGCAGTTAGTAGAAGGAATTTGTTTGGTATAAATCCCAAAACTCCAGTACATCAGGGAGATTATATCATCTGTCAATTTGATTCAAAACAAGCATTAAAAACGTGTAATAAAAGCAGTGTGAGTGAGAATAGATTTTTACTTTGCTGTAGGGATGATTAGGCAGTGAGTGTTGCTATGGAAACCCAGCAACCGAGTGCAGACTAAAGATCACACCTATGGATGTTTTAGCTTATGCCTAACAACAACATTTCTATACTTTAATTCATACTAAAACAATCCGATCTTGCCAATTCCAGCCGTATCAGCATTTTCTCAAGATTTAGTTTGACATGTAAATAAACAGACAGACGAAGCAGAGATAGGGACAGGATATGACATGAAAGAAAGGTTCCTGGTCCAATTTGAACCATGGAAGTTATGGTGAGATAAAATCGGTTTGATACATGTGATACTGAAATGCAAAAAGATGGTAAATGAAGAAAATACAGCAGAAAGTAAGCTCAAAGTGATGTCTGCCAAGAGCAAAGAGTAGGGAAATTGAAGAAAAAATGGCAAAATCTGTGATAATTATGTATGCATGTGTTTTCATATAGAAATAGGACTTTTACACCATTGTTTCCCCAAAAGTCACCTTTCACTAAACTGGCCTACAATTTCTACCTTACAGCTTACATCAGGCTGCATGGATCAGTTTTAGTATTGCACGCAGGGTGAACTGTAGAGTTCTAATCAAACAAACTTTCATTTGCATATAAACAGTGGTTATGTGGGATTGGGTGTCAGTGCAATGCTTTTACTGCTGCTGCTGTTTCTTTCTATCCAACAATCGCCCACACATCGACACAAACAAGCTGGCAGGCATCCAAACATGCATCTACACACACATGCACACACTTCTTCCGGGAACACTTAACACTGCCCACTCACCTACTCAAAGCAGCTATTTCCCATTTTCAAGAGCACACTGTGATATACGTGTACCACCTATTCAATTATTCCAAGCCTCTACCGGAAAATACAGCTTAAAGATCAACATCAAACACAATCAATGGTTGTGGAATCAAGAATAAAAAACGTCTCTTATGGCTTTGCGCTGGTTTAAAATAATGCTCCAAAAATATATGAATATTTGTGTTTCCTGAGTGAGACAACGCTCGACAAATTCCTAAACATTGGGAATGACTTGCTTTCAAAAAACGAATGCATGGCACATAAATCTCAACATGAAATAAAAGTGTTTTCAGGAAAACATTTTTTAAATCTTCACAAAAAAAAACATACAGAAACTATTCTTAAACTAACATATAAGTGCGCAAAGCTAGAGTATCCAGTTGAAATGACATGACATAACTGACCAGTTTTTGGAGTATAATCTTCAAAAATAAATCTATTGTAATATAATATGTCGCATATATTAAAGTTTAAAACGGAATGAAGTAATCTAATGTGTAATGGTTCCAACTGGACTACTCCCTTTGTTGTTCGACAGTTCATTTCTGCATACGCTTTGTGAGGGTTAAATATTAAATTTTCTAGATACACAGTAAAACTGACACATTTAAAAGAAGCATCACAGGCACTGGGTCTAATAAGGCAGTCTGGCTATACAAAATATACTGCTCATTCACAAAGCAACGGCACTGTAAAAAGAAATGACCTTGTAACATTAACAAAGCTAGCCTGCGGTGATGACAATTTGTCTGGTCTGGTTGTCTCAGCATCTCTCTGACAGAATGATGTCAAATGTCAGAGCAGCCGCCTTTCATTGGCTTTGACAGAAGGTACATCCCACATGCACAAATAGCCGCGTTGTTAAACAGAATCCTCTGCATATCTGCATTCATCATCTCCAGTACCAGCTTACATCCACACAGACAAACAGTCCTAATGAAGTAAACGCTTGTATTACCTGTATGACAGACAGAAGCTGAAAGCGCTCCCTCTCTGAGCGGCGACACCGACTGGAAGCCCCGAGTCAACGCTACACACCGCCAGACTGACTCGCACACACACACACTCTCACACAGAGCTGGACTGAGAGGGTACGGAGAGAGCAGGAGTGCCGTTTGGTATTAAACCAGCCTGCACCCGAAATGTGTAAAGCAAGTGGTTGCCATAGCAACACACTGGTGGGCCACTGATTTGGGTCCCAATGTAATTCAGATGCCAGCAACACATCCAGTTGTTTCAGTCTCTCAGTCTGCAGCCTCCAGTATAAATGGAAACGATGGCAGTGACGTAGCCGAACAATTAATCTAACAAAGCCCAGATGTTTGCCTGCTGAAATAAAAGCTACATTCCGTAAATTATTTCCTATAACGTCATTGTGTTTTATATATATATGTTATTACATATCTTTTTTGGTCTTTTCTGCAACGTCTTTTCCATCTTTCTCCGTCTTGAAAAAAGAATCCCTTCTTTGTTACTGTTCCCAATGTTTCTATATTTGTTTTTGGTGAAATATTTCATTATTCAAGTAAAGGGTCTTAGAATAGAAGGTGCCATATATATAACAAATTGTAAACCCCTCTGAGGGAAAGTTGTGATTCAGAAATCCTCCAACTTTGGATTTGTTCCTTTCAGTCTGTGCCTAGACACCAGAGACTCGTTTGGTCAAATCTCCTCTCTGCTGCAGCCAAACGTACTCGTTGAGGCTAATGAGATGGAGGGTCCTTAACAACACAAAATCTTGTCCAGTCATCTCAACAGTATGCCCAGATAATTGCCACAGCTCAGTGACATCAGTCAATGCGATATCGCTAACATAACAGAAGGGCTTCCTCGATTCATACAAGCCAACTGCTCTGCAGAATAAGATGAACGACCCTTTGCATTCTTTCTCCTTCTATTAACTCGATCTGTTTCTCTCCGTCTCCCTCTCTTCATTTTTTTCTCTTGACCACTTTCAGCATGGCTCGCTGGCTTTTTCAACTTTAGCCTAAAAGGAAAGTCAAGAGTGCAATTTCGTGCTTCAATAGTTCCTGTTGTGTCTGAAGAGCTTTTCACAGGAAGGCTTACTGCCGCCCTGCCCTGCTCTGCTCTGGAGCTACGCTAATGTGTGCTGACACCATACTCTGCAGGCAAGTTCTGTCACTCAGATGCTGAAACAAAATGTCATTTTTTTATGCAGATGATTATAAAACATCTATTGATTATTCCATATAACTGTCTGTAAAAGGTGCAGGAGAGGGTAATGTAGAGGAAACTTCTGTGTAGCTATGCAGTGGGAGTCACCGACTCAGGAAGGAGACACGGTAGGAGCAGTAGCTTTGATGTCAAACACATGATGGTTTATTTGGAGTTACGGCCGGAGGATTCACATCACAAGTCCAAGAGTCAGAGGTTCTGACTTCACGGTAGAGTTGCCACGTCAATTCTGGAGAGCCTCTCTCTTGCCAGCCCATCTAACTGGTTTCGCAGAGAGTAAACAACATATTTGAGAAGATAGCCTAAACAGTGTGGGAACACTGAGCTACTTGCGTCGGACACTTATGACCTCGAAGATTTCACCTTGGAGTCCACAAATACAGAGAAGGAAGTGTCCCAGTGTACCCACAACACAGACCATCTGTGACCCAGTATTGACCGGTCACAGAATGGGAACAATAACATTATTGGCTAAGCAGCCTGTGTCCTTAAAAGGAGGGTAAACAGACATCAAGGTTTGTCCTGTATGTCACATCTTGGCGTCTATGACAATTATTTCCATAACAGGTAATATTGTTTTTATGTGTAAGGCAACTTTCATTTGAAACTCGTTCATTTTATTATACATCAGTGCATCGTTATGAGCAATTATTTTATAATTGTTTTTCTACGTGATTATACCACACATGAAGCAGGCTGGCAACATGTTTTCAGTCTTGAGACAAATGATGCTTTGAAAGGATTTATATCAAGTCAGTTGTATTTATTGATTAGCAGGGGCGCCGCTTGCCGACAGGCAAGGCAGGCAACTGCTTGGGGCCCCGGACCAGAAGGGGGCACCCAAAGAAGGTAGATTAAGAAGGTCCACAGCAACGACAACATGAAACACCCTTTAATTTACTGCAACGACATGTCGGGAAACCCCCTGAAGGCGGCCCCATGCATAGCGCGCCGTAAAACGCTGCTTCTTATCTAGGGTTGGGAACCGAAACTCGGTTCCAGATGAGAACCGATAAGAAAATGCCGGGTACCCATACAAAATACACAATTTTGGTTCTGCTTAACGGTTCCTAGACGCGGTCGACCCTGTATTCCACCGGGTCCGTCTGCACCCTGTCTTAAATGACAAGATGAATTGGAAATGGGGGACCCTGATGTAAACAAGACGAAAGTCTTTCTCTGGTCTGCATCCCCTTAACAATTGTATGTTTTGAGCTGTACTGTACTGTACCCAATATACAAGCTGTTAATAAACTTTTCAATCAATCAATCAATCGTCTGCGCCGCAGGTCCGTCTGCGCCGCGGTGATCCGGTGGAATACAGCCAGGGTAAGGGAGGACTGGCCATCTGTGTGTTCTGGAGAATCACAGAACGGCCGGTCGTCAGCGGGCCGTTGACGGCCGGCACCGCCCTTCATTTTTGTCATTTCCGGCATAAGTTGCGGCGACAGAGGTCCACAGTTTCCCCGCAGCGAGGCTCCCCCCGCCCTCCCGTAGACAGTTCATGAGCTCAGTCACTTTATAACACCAAAGATGGATCGCGGTAAACGCTCTAAAGTGAGGCTCCACTACACTAAAAAATAAAAAGACAAGGCACAGTGTAATGCCTGTTAATAGCTTGCCACAGGCATAGCTCAGTTAAAATAAAGCACAGCTATTGTGCAATACATTTGTATTGAATGTATATTTTTTATTTGTAAAAATGTCAGTTAAAGCTTAAAAAAATAAAGATATTTTTGTTATCTAAACGTTTGACCTCTTTCTTTTACAATTTTGGAATCGAAACGGGGAATCGATAAGAACCAGAATCGATAAGCAGCACCGGAATCGGAATCGATACATTTCAAACGATACCCATCCCTATTCTTATCTTACATTTTGTTGCCTTGCTCTGCTCCGGGAGGGGGGCTATCGGCTGTGCGTGGTGATGAAAAGCTGGTTTGAGGGGCCCCCAGTGAATGTTTGCCTAGGGCCCCCACTGTCTCTGCATTCCCCTTATTCCACAATAAGGGGATTGTCAACACAGACACCTGTCAACCCGCACTCTGCACTCTCCCGCTGAAATTATGAATGAAAAGCGTAGTAATCATAGATAACACGGCAGGGTCCGTGACAGTTTGTTTTCATCTGATTTCAAATAAACAAAGTCTTGGTTTTAAGAATATTAAACTTGTTTCGCTAAATTCAGATGATAAAAACAACTTTTAAGCTTGTAAAGGCATAATTACAAGAGGCAACTTAACGTCACAGCAGGCATAACAACAGCCGGTGTTTCTTGTGAGGGTTTCCCCGGGAAACAAACACAATACACACAAATGCGTCACAGATTATTTCGCGGTATTTGAAATCATCTACGCAGCTCACGACGTAACTAGGAGTCTAGTGGACGGTATCAGTACTACCAGTAAAAAAAACAATTTTTTTAAATGTATTTATTTTTTATTAATTAGGCTACGTTGTTTATAAATTAATCTGAGGGCCGCAAAAAGAGGAGTTGGAGGCCGCATGCGGCCCGCGGGCCGCCATTTGCCCATCCCTGCTCTAGAATCACCACTGCTGATGAGGACTATAGCCTCGTTCACACCAAGTACTTTGCCGTAATTAGTTCCCAGCACTTAGTTCCCAGCACTTAGTTCCCCTATGGAACTAAGAGCCGATCGCGTTCACACCGGAATAAGTTCCCTGAGGGTGGATTAGGCAAATGAAGCCGCTGACGTCACTTCTTCTTCTTCTGCTTTGGGTTTACTCGCAGGCCGCAAACCACTTCACGGCGTATACTGCCACCTGAAGTCCCCGGCCGGAAGGCCCCGGAGTTAGGGACTGACTTCAGTAGAAGCTGCTGGGACTCCCAGCAACTTCTACTGAAGCCTTCTGAGTAAATCGCCAGAACGCCGACACCTCCTCATCTCCACCGCTCCCATGTTTTCTTTTGTGTTGGCATAAGTTAGTCTCTCTCCGTTGGTGCGCTGGGCTAATGCTAATAATGCTAATAATGCTAATGTGAGGATAATAAAATGGCGGCTCTACAAAACATTTCAGAGTTTTACGGGGCGTGGTTTTCAATTGCCCAGCCAATCAGAACTGTGGTACTTTTTTTCCCCAGGAAAGTACCTACCCTCAGCAGGCGCTAAAAATGGGGTGAAAAGTTCCCGGCACTTAGTTATTTTTTTGGTGTGAACGCGATATCAGGGGTACTAACGGAACTAAACGCGAAAAGTACGGGTGAAAAGTACTCGGTGTAATGAGACAGGAGTGAAAGCACAGATCTAAATTGCTGGGATAAAACTTAGAGTAGATCATTAGCTTTCCTCTCTCGGAGAAACACAAAATAATGTTTACTTGCTCATCAGTTTCAAGTCATTCCTTTGAAGTTTGAAGAAGGCTGTTTACAGCTCTCATATCTTTGATATGTGCTAATAAAGACCCAGAGGAACACATGAGACCATGGCTGTTGCTTATTATGTCGGCCCACTGGCTTAAAGGTAGCCTCTCCTTTTTGTATTAGGGAGCCATGCATCTCTAAGCAATGTTCTGGGCTCTGGACTCTAAATGTGCCTGATAACATAAACTAGAGATGTACATTTAAAAGAGACTTCTTTTTTAACTGACAGACGGTTCGACCGGCATGCTTCACGAAAAAAGTACAAGTTATATAAAAACGAACATTAACATTTTATTATTTTAGAAAAGTAATCTCTGAACAGAAGCTTTTGGCGCATTTCCACTGCAGGGCCTCGCACGGCTTAGTACGGTATAGTTAGGCCTTGATAGGCCAGGCTCACTTTATGCTGCATTTCCATTACAGTTTAGGAACTGGGGTAGTAACTATAGTAACACAGTGTAGGCGGAGCCGTGACGTCATCTTCAATGCGAAACACAAAACCAACATCAGCCATTAGCTGTTAGCCCTCAGAGCTCACAGCTCCTCATATCTGTCCAGAAACTAGACAAAAGTTAAACAAGTACAAACCACAAAATGACTGTCTATGTCATGGCGAATACAGTCGATGGTTTATTTATGTCTGTATAGGCCGTTGTTGTGAGTGTGGACGGTCGGAGCATATACAACGTTAGCTTGTACGATCTCCATTCAGAAAACACGCATTTTAAAAGGTTTTTCGCCTGCCGTCTGGTCTGCAGACTTGTCAAAGCATTAATTCATGGTTTTTACTAACCGGTATCAGTATGTTGTTACTTCGGCATCATTTTGAAATGTGTATTACAATTAAATCACGGTCAAATAAGTTCATTTTGTTGTAGTTGCCAGCGATTCTCTCACTAGTTTAGCATACTCAGCCTGGTTGTTGGCCCGGAAATAACCTCGATTTTGGAGAGCCAGAAAAACTGTGAAAAAGTACCCGCTAGCCGGAGCTACCCCTAGTGGAAACGCAACCAAAAACGGGCCGGGCACAGCACGGCATGCTTAAACCGCGCTGTAGTGGAAATGCGCCATTAGTGTCATCCCAATTTGAGGGTCATTATGTGATTTCAGTATAATATAAATATAATGGATGTGTGTGAGGAGAAGAGTCTGATTTATCTGAATCTTCTCCTCACACCCTTTCGGTCACATAATTTGATCAAGTATGAATGATACTAAATAATTAGCGATAAACATTGAAGGAATAAAGAGGGTCAAATGTCAATGAGCAGCGAAACTTGAAAATACTGTAATCAGCCTTCAAACCGGTGTCAGGTTAAGCTTTAATAACGGGGAGATGGGAGGTTAATTTGGCTCCTGTCATCGCATGCTAAACGTTCTTGTCTGTGGTAAGATACAACAAAAAAATAGCCCTGGCAAACTAAATTATAGGGGAGCCGTTTCCATGGTAACACCATTGGTACGTTAATGTTCTCGTCTCCAGCGTGTGAGTGAGGAACGGCCGGAAGGGTAAAGGGGTAGAGAGAAAGATTTGTTGTGTAATTATAGCACTCTTAATAACAGTATGCAATTCTAGTGAGGACTCGGAGTGCTGCAAACCCACGCACAAGAAGAGACAGGACAAACACACACACACACACACAAAAAGACACAACTATCATACACACACATACAACCATATTACATAACATATTAAAAGTCATAGACAATGCTTACACATGAATATGCAATCTTTAACACACACACACACACACCATATGATTAATGGAAGGAACACTTACACAAACACATTCTTACAGTATGTGTACACACTCATTCATAAACAAAAGCCCATCTTACACACATTTACAAATTAAACGCAGACATATTCCTGTTGGTTTGGACTTCTTTCCAGAATCAAACTGTGAGCCAAGCTTGCCATGATTGATACAAACTACAGTACTACTACATAACTTTAAAGCATGGTATGTTTAGTCTTGTACATAATGGACCAAATTTACATGAGAAAAGTTAAAATGTACACGTTTTGTTTCATTTGTAATGTAATGTAAAACTTAGACTTGACATTTTGACAAATAGGTGAGGGCTCATCTGTTTTACTTTTTCTGTACGAAATGGGCTAAGGAAATTATATGACTAAGAGTAAATACCTTTTCCTCATCAAAACAAACCCTAAAAAAACATCAATGCTAATTTGCAAAATGTTGTTCTTCAGCGATTACAATTCCACACTAACAAACCCCATCACGTCCTCTTATTTTAGCAATCCGATAATGCAGAAAGATTCCAGTTAACGCACTAGAACTTACTGTAACATTAAAGTGAATAATCTAAATACTTTAAACAGATCTTACCTGCGGTAATAGCGGGGGCCCCACTGAGCTCCCCATTGAAGCCATTCTCTCGGGTGGAGTAGGGGCCTGTGGCCATTTGGGTCCCACCAGGCTGGCAGGTCCTGTAGGCAGAGTAGCCATTGGCTCCATGGTTGCCGGCGGCCTCCTGCCCCCCTGATGGGTCCCACTGGGGGGCACCATCCTCTGGCTTTCGACTGTCTGCCATGCTGGTGCTAGCTAGCAGCAGGGAAGAATGGGCACGGGGTGGGGTCTCTCCTTCTGGCTGAGAGACATGAAGGGATGGAGGGAGGAAGGGAGGAAGCATTATTAACTGCAATATTAGCAATGTATCATAGAGGAGAATGAACAGTGTGCAGACCAGAGGACACACTGCATCAGTCACATTCTCAAATCTCCTTTTCGTCAGTCATGATCCCTGCGGCTGCTCCATGAAGCTCCACTGTCAACAATTCTGAAAGAGCATCAGCGCTTGTGTGAGTCTGTGTGTAGGTGGTTGTGTGAAATACTGTCCTTGGGTGTTATTGGGCAGGTGACAGCCACTGGATTAAACCCTATTGATTTGTGTGTGTATGTAATGACTCATATAGCCAGTTTCCCAGGTGAAAATCACCAGTTGTGGAAAATGAACAGTGCAGACCTTGGATTTGTGTGACTCATGCAAGGTTACAGGGATCTGAGGTGGGCTTTGATCAATCTGACAAGATCCAGTTCGGCATTGGACAAATAGCTTGAATCATGTAGCTTTCATCATTTCTGATAATCTATATATAAACACATATTTAAACAAGAACAACACACACTTGAAACACTTCAAAAGGAAGAAGGGCATTATGATCTTAACAATATGTATTTTTAGTCCTCACCATAACCTGAGGTTTACATGACATCCCCCCTGAGAGCCGATGATTGACCAGAACAGCATGGGGAAAAGATCAAGCAGAGGCAAAGGGGGGGGGAAATGGATTGATCGACCCACATAATCACCTGAGGCAGGAACGGTCAGTAAGATTCAATGATCTCTTGGGCCATATTTAGCAGTAGGTGGGGGGAACCAGATGAATGGGTTTGATGTAGGGTTAGATCGATACACAAGGTTTTGTACTTGAAGTCCTTAACTCGCACTCTGCTACTCTTCTAATTAATACGCCTGGCTATTTTGATTGATATTCCACTTTCTTCCTATTCATTGACATGTATATTAGGACATAATGCTTGTTCGAGGTAGTATTGGCCTTCAAACATCAAATGAATACAATCTTGATGTCAAAGGACGTAAATGGAGATTAACAAAGGTCTGAGAGAGAAAAAGAGAACTGTGAGTCTGCATGCAGACCATAACAAAGAAATGTTTCGCAGGTAGGTTGTAAATGGTAAATGGTCTGTACTTATAAAGCGCTTTATCCAGTCTTTAAGACCCCTCAAAGCGCTTTACATACTACATGTCGTTCACCCATTCATACAGAGCAGTGTACCTAACTCTAGGAACTAACATTCATACACATTCACACACCGTTGGCCATGCCATCGGGAGCAACTCAGGGATAAGTATCTTGCCCAAGGATACATCGACATGTTGACTGCATGGGCTGGGATCGAACCCACAACCTTCTGATTGAAAGACGACGGCACTACCTCGCAGCCACAGTCGCCCGATGTAGCGAGGGTACTTTAAACATTTACTGCTGTGTAGTTGTGCATAAGGGGATGTGAGAAGGAGTGGTTTGTAATTGAGCTATGCGGTCCTCAGAGACTGAAGGGTAGTCTGCTGGAAAAAACAAGAGTCAATAACTGTGGCCTGGAACTGAGGAGCTGCTACAGTGAGCACCAGCTACAGCATTCACAATGCACTCAATACTACTGCTCCCTGTCTGCACAGTGAGAGAAAAGACTAGAATAAAGATCAAACAAGGAGGAGGAGGAAATACATATGGCAAATAATTGGTCCAACTGATATTTTGACCTAAAGGTGGCACTGAAAAAGAGTCAGGGGATCACACAAATGTATACAAATCTCCTTGTGTGGAACATGAAAGTATTTTTAAAAGTTTAAAGTCAAATGGATGTTAAGATATTTTGATCAAAAACTAAAAAGTAAACTTTATGTTGATAGAGGAGAAGTCAGAGGGATCACCATGAATATTCATACAATCGTTTTTTCTATGATTCAGTGACCAACAGAATTACATGGCACTCCCAAATACCATGCCATCAGCATGGCTGCAAACAGACAATGCCTCAACATGTAATATCCATAGGCTATCATTTAAAAGTGTTACAATATGCTTTAATATAATTAAAAGTTCTACAAAAAAAACTATACATTTAAGCTCCATGAGAAACAACATGTTGAAGCATATCGGGTAGTCAATGAAGGGCAACGTTAACTGACAGATCCGTAGGGTTACATCCTTTATGGTTACATCACACAGAAAGGTTGATAACCCCTGAAATAGAATCCAATAAGAATAGAGCACAGTGGGGAAGAATAGCATTAAACAGAGAGAAATAATAAAAAAAGAACTGAGGAGAATATGTCACGGCTCTAAGCCCCCTGCAGCCTAAATGGATCAAACTCAGGAGTCAATGGAGCTTTGCATGAGTCAGCGCTGAGGGGAATATCAGTGAGAAAAAAGCTTCTACAGAGACTCCGCAGCTCACAGCACCAGCATCCTCATAAAACGCTCACTCTCTCTCCCTCTGTCCGAAAGCCACAGCAGTATATTCGGCATTGACCCTTAACTGTCACTGTCCCTTTGGTTGCACCACCATGTCCCTGCCTGAAGAGCACTCTCAATATTAACAGGGTCATAAAACTCAGAGATGAGACTGCTGTCCTAAAGCTGTGTCTCACTGATGTCTGTCTGATGATGAAGGTCACTTTGAGCCCGGTGGCTGATATCCAGAAGATCATTCTGACAGGTGGCCAGGCCCAAGGTGTCAGCTAAGGGGTGGGGGCCCGTTGAGCAGATGTGAGCAGCATTTTTAAGTGTACAATCTGTATTCTGTTTATGAACAATGAAAATACTACGTTTGAATGAAACAGCACCACCTGCCGGGTTAAAGCCTGATGGAAGACAATAGGGGCCATTGCTATTATGAAAAGTCAGCAAACTGGGATTAGAGATTGGAGAGGCATTAGGCAACATTATCATGTGAAACCACGCCCATCACATCAAACAAACTGGGGCTGCAATGTAGTACAGTGTCTCATTACAAATTAACATGCCTTGCAATTCCCCTTATTCAAAGCTAAATACAGGTTTAGGGTACGATGCAAAAATGTCAAGGAGGCCAAATAACGAGGAGAGAACCACTGAGAAGAATAGAGTGGACAGAGAAAGGATGAGTTATTTCAGAGAAGACATTGAGACAAGCAGACAGCAGAAATTCGTATATCACAGGATAGTAGGCAATCTAAATATATTGTCCAGGTAATATACTATCCTCAAGGCATTGTGTCCAGTTGGAGTGAGACTGTATGAGATGGCGATTTGATAGAGTCAGACGTCGAGTGTCTCAGTAGACAGCAGGTCTGTTGCATTTGGCAAAAAGCTTGTGGCCCTTTGCCAGAGGGAGGGTTGATGATGCTGATACGCTCCCTCTCTCTGTGCCCAGGAAGAATGGAGATTAATAGTGAGCAGGCGCCGAACACTGCTGCTAGATATTTTGGATAGCGACTAATTAAGGTATTACAGTAGAGTCAAACAGATCTACACTTCAAAGAAAATCTCAACACTACAACTATTGATTTGTTTCCATTTATTAGTAATCCATTTTGAAACCAAAGTACATTATAATGGATTGAAACTGCACTTTCTCTCAATGGATTTGTGTCAGCTACCTACATATTAACCTTTAAATTCAGTGCTTTCAACATTGGCTTATCAAAGTACTGACTGAGCAACATGTACTTATGAGTTCAAACAGGGATTTCTTTGTTTCTTTGTTACTTTTGGTTTACTTTTGTTTTACTCTGCCCTTTAATAATTCTTAACACAAAATGTGTATGCCATTATGCAGTTTATGTGGCAGCCTCAAACTGTTACATCTCCTGAAAAGTGCTACGAGTTACGAGTGCACAGAAGGCCCATAAACATCTCTGCTCCTTCTCACCTATTGCAAATTGGCAAATTGATTATTTCAGAAGAATTAATCAGTTGTGACGAACTGCACTTTCCAACACACTGTTGCTGTGAGAATAAATAATCCACTAAGTATGTTTTTATTTTTAAATGTAAGGCTCTATTGCAGTATTTCTGGGAAAACACCTTTTTGAATCAGAAAACTTCTGATGTTGCGTTAGGGGGCAATTTCATCACTTTGTTCTCAGAATAGACCACTCAGGACACTTTTCCTCCCCCGACTGTCTGGCTAAATGTGGCTCTAGAGGTGGAATAAATACACACCACAGAACAACATGAAATGAGCTTCATAAGGACTTCCACATTGAGACAAATCTATACGTTAACGCTGTAAACTGTCCGGTTTAACCACAGTTATTGATGTCCACTAGGTCTAATACCTTGCTGAAGGGCACCTTGACAGCAATTGCAAAGGGAGGGGAAAGCGCAACTCTATTACTTTTTTCAACTATATTTTCCAGTGAGGCACAATCCAGAGGAAATACGTGATGCTGAATCAAAAGGAAGAACATGTATTGGCAAGGATACACTCTTTTCGGTAGAGTCACAAGAGAGCACAAACTTCACATAGTCATTCCAATCACCTCAAAATAGCAGATGAGCTGTCGGACTCATAATAGCCTTTTTTTTATGTTTCAGCCAGACTGCAACATTTAACATTTCATTTGGAACTGGCCTTGCCCTTTAGACTCGTCACATAGCAGAAAGACCTTGGTGAAGTGCATTTGCATGTTTTTGCAAAGGTTACAAGTTTATATTTATAATTCTGCCATTGCTTCTATATTACCAGCCCACTGTCAAAAATAAGCGCTTTGCTGAAAGAGAACTAAATAACAAAAAGGTCTAAAGCTATTAGCCCTATAAGCCAGATTAATAGTACAACAATAACACATTGGTAATTACAACTTCTCATAACCGTTTCTTGAATATACAGACTGAGAGAGGCTGATGTGTTTGGTAAATGTGTGTCAAAGTCACAGCTCACTGACTGAACCCAGTGTTTTCTGGTAATTGTGTTGTTGCATTCCAGATTTGTAGAGTTTGGGAGGCTTTATAGGTGAACATGAATTATCTCAACTCAACAAATTATCAAGCAAGAGCTCACAGATATCAGTGGATT